GGCTAGATTACTTCTGAGAAAGAACCCACTTTTTGAAGTTCTTCATCTATACTGTTTGGTATTAATAACTTAAGTACAGCACATACATGCTCTCTATACACACAAGGTAACTCCTCATCCCCATTCTTCAAAAGGTCAACTAGAGCCTCAGGAGCTTGAAAAGTGAAGTTTTGCCTAAAACTTCAGCTTCCCCATGGCAATTCCAGTCTTGTAACCGTGTACTAAAGCCTGGGGGAAAGGTCTCAAATGAAACCAAAGGAGGAAACATTCACCCTCAGAACACATCAACACAGCTGAATTTGTGTCCATGTTACAGCAGTGTCCCTGACCAGCACCAACAAGAATAATTTTTAGCAACATTTTAGGATGTAAAATAAATAAGTCACTTCTTTCAGAAATGCTTTGAGCCTGTTGGTGCAACTGGCCTTACAAGCTATAACATAGCAACTGACCTACCTTAAAGCATAATGTATAACTTCTGCATCATGCCTCTAAATTCCCTTAAAATTCAGCCTCCCCACAGTCCCATGTAGTCAAATACCTGAGTTGTGTTTGTGTCATTTTTTCACAAAACAAAGAGAAATACCTTGGTGGGGAAGCAGAACTTGGTTTTAAAACTACAAAAATATGCAGGATAAGTGCTAAAATTACTTAACCCTGTTGTAATTTCTGTAAAACTCTGATTCTTTACTTCCTATTATCAGGAACATCCTAACCACACTTACACTTGTTAGAAAAAGCTTTAATTTCAGAAGAGTTGCTACAAATACCTACAAACAATAAAATAAAAAAAGAAAAGGAAAAAGAAAAAAAGGCAGCAGAGCACAGAGCACCCTTTACCAGACTCTGCTGACTCCCAGAAGCAGCATCCAGAAATGGAGAATTTCTATTTTTAATTGCCCTTTAACTTCCACAAGGACACTACCCCCTGAAGGCAATAGTTAGCCTCAACTGATTTTCTTGATGTGGACATCTCTACTGACATCTGGCCTGAGACAAGTGATTTATTGCACCAAATACAATCAAGTGTCAAGAAAGACCCTAACTCAGGATTAACCTACCTATCTACACAAGGCTAGAACTGAAATAACTAAAATTGTACCTAATTTACTCCTGTAAGATTATTCATATCCTGTTTTGATTTAACTTACAGCTATGTTAAACTGAAATAGGATACTCATAATCAGAAATGAAAGAGTATGTTCGCATAAAGTCTTACACTAAAATAACTAAAGGTGTTAAATTACTTCTAATTTCAGTTATTCAGTTCCAGACTGTGCTTAGACAAGCTCTTCGGAGGTGAAGCAATAAAAATGCTCTGAATTATGCTATTCTGTCTGAAAGAAACAAGCAGCAGAGAGATAACTGACTAAGCAAACAAACTCTTGCAAAAACAAAAACAAAACTTCCAGCTAAGTTTGATTTTTAAATCCACCTCTATTTATGGGATGTGACCCTGGAATGTTGTCTTTCCTAAAGACCTTTTCACAGAAGGGGGGGGGGGGGGGGGAAGCTATGTGTGGATAATGAAAGGCTTTATCTGATATCTCAATTACTCCTGCAACTGAAGCACTGCCAAAGATTTCTGTTACCCCTTTCTCCCCTCCTCAGGGGAGAGTGACAACTGCATTTTCAATAGCAGAACAACGGATGAGACTCAGTTAAAGAAAACAAGATAACAACAATTCTTGTCCCAAGTGTCCAAGTGAATTTCAAAACATTACCAGGAATTATTTGAGGTTTGTTTTCTTACTGAGTATTGCAAGTCTAAGACTTCTCTCCCTGCCCTGAGCTTGAGCTTTAGTCCCTAAATCCATTAGTGCATGCTCTGATAACAATTCAATGATTCTCAAGGTTATCTAGATAGATAAGCATGGACTAAGCACCACAATAACATACTCAAGGAGGACTAGAATCCTGAGCACGGGGTTTGGCTCCAGGGAAACATGGACTTGGGCTTTATTCACAGTACTTTGAAAAGGTGTCAGATTCACCGTCTAGTCGTTTACCACAAATGTACAAGCAACTGCTGGTTCCCACGAGAATCATTCTTTGCAGGCAATTTGCAGACACTAAACTTAAAAAAAAAAAAAAAAACCAAAACAAAACAGAAAAAAAGTAATAATGCAGAATGGCTGTATCACGTGTGCCCTCCAGGATACTGTCTAGCATAACTTGACCCATATAACATGTTACCAGATAGTACAATGCCCTCAAGAGAAATTGCACCATGCAGAATTCATATTTACATATGATGCTATCACCGCAGTTCTGACTGTAGCACTACTGACTCTCTTACAACAGTAAGTGAGTGAAAGAAGCTGCCTTCTGCCTACAGTTTTTGATGGGGTGTCTGGTGCTTGGCTATCTTACGGCAGTAATTCAAGCTTTATGGTTGAATGTTGACCAGAAACAAGCAGCTGAAAATCTGGGCTGTAAGCGTGACCCTCCTGCATCTTCCATGCCTGCTGACCTCCACAAGGCCTGCAGATGCACAAGCAACACAGGATCTCACCCCAGGTTTGCAGCAGGATGGGAGCCCTCAGCAACAGAGGTGTTTTGGTTGTGCATAGCACAGTTTGCACAGCATCCTTTTCAAGATGCAGGCATGCAGTTCCCATCCTTCAGTTCAGGATATAGACAGTGGGACACTGCCTCTGGCACATAGTTCACTTCACACAGCTCATGTGTCACTGGACCACACAACCCATATCTCATTTTTCCACCATATGTGCAGGTGGTTCGACATATATGAAGGAAGTAATGCAACCAATGGCAGCATTTCTACTTCACCTAATAAAAATAAATCACAGCAACCTTTCCATCTAAATTAAAGTGCTTATTAACCTTTGTGATCTTAAAAATTCAAGTTACACTTCTGCACTTCTCATGGTACTATATATGACTCCTGCAATTAATGTACATGAAGAGTATCAGGCAAATCTATGACGACTGAAAAGTTAAAAATTGCTCAGGCCTGAATTTTTTACTTCTGTTACCAATAGCTTAATTTATTGCAACTTTGTGACCTCTTCAAAGAACCAAACAAGGTTTATAAATATAAGAAAGTACTAATATTGATATGTCAGCATTAGTTCTGATATTATTAACAATAGGCATGAGTGCATTATGCAGCAGAAAAGGGGGCTGAATTTTAATAGACGTGTTAACAACATCTGTCAGCATTTATTGCCCTATTGTGACCATGTAAAGAGCCTTATTGGCAGAATGTGTAAGTGAGGAAATCTGCTACAGTGGTGTAGCCTGCCATTCTCCTGAAATATCACTCTACTTAGGAGAAGTCAAGGTATTCTGATTAGAAAAATAAATAAACAAAAATGCAGAAGAAACACAGAAAGGCTTCTCCAAGCCATGTCACATGGAAGAAAACCAAGTTCTGCATCAAGCCAATTACTTTCTTCTATTCTTGGATTTCAGCATAAGAAACTTCTAAACGTTTTTAACTATAATTAATAAAACCAAAGCCCACAGCAAGGAATGCAGGAACAAAGAAATAAAAACAAAACAGTAGAACAGAAAACCCCTTAGAACACAGCAACAAACTACATCCACTCTCAGCAGCATCCAGAGGGAAGTACCCCACATCCTCAGGCTCCTCAAAGAGATTTTGCAGAGCCCCACGATCATCCTTTCTGAATCAGAAAAATAGTTTTAACATCTAACACCAAGAAAGCATGCTCCTTTCTGTCTCTCTCTGCTCCTTTTTAAACTCAGCAGTAATCTTACTGCCATACTGGTAAAAACATCAAGCAGGCTTGTTTCCTGTTTCAGTGTTATTCTTGAAGTAGGCTGCAGTAAGAATCTGATTTTCATTGGGCTATTATTATTTGCAGCTGCGCGACCTTTTTAACCCTCTTTTAAAAGTGACATTTCAGCCTTCAACCTCAAGCTGTCTAAATGTTGCAAGGTTTTCAGTCCTCTGATTAACAGTGAAAAAGAACCGATGGGGAGGTGTACACTACAATGTGTCTAATACAGGTCAGTGCACCCATCCTGCCATTTGCACAAGTGAGTAATTACACACTTATAAGCAACCTGTATGTTGAAATTAATCACCTGGGCACATGCTTGCAAGACAGGTTTCTTCAGCCTGGTATGACCAAGGTCACTGAGATTTCCAAATGCAAGTACAAAACACACAGTCACTAACATTAGCAGCCGTATGCAGAGACATGAGCAATAAACAAAACATCACCTATTTTTCAGGGTCATGGCCACAATGTATAAAATTTGAGAGGAGATGTGGTTATGCTGCTCTTGTGAATGTTAAAGAACCCTGTAAGTATATGCAGCATTTTAAACTGTTAGTCGCAGCTAGTCAGTACAGCACTATTTATAGATAATTACACTTTTATTACAAGTGCTATTAAGACTTGTTGGTTTTGGAAGCATAGTACCTGCAGGGTTAATGCCTGCGGTTGTTCCCAATATGTCCTTGCATGAGCAAAGCCAGTTTTAAGTACCGTTGTGCTGAAACAGTGCATGGTGGTTTTTGTCAGCACGGGCTGTTCAGTGGAAGAGCTTGTTTTCTGAATCTAGCATCATGCTTTCCACAT